ATCTGTCTCTTTTTATGTTTTTCTCTCACTCTCTTTTATTTATCTGTTCATACATGATTAGCTCTGTGAACTCATTGTCTTCTCCACATAACGTGAACCCTCACTCACCACCCCACCACACCAACCCAACCACCACCACAACAACCACCACCACCCCAACCACCAACCACCACCCCACCAACCTGCACCACACCACCACCACCACCACCAACTCCACCACCACCAACCCCCACCACACCCACCCCAACCCACCACCACCACAACCACCCCACTGCTCACCAACTCCACCACCACTGCCCCAACACCACCACCCCACCCCCACCCACCCACCACCACTCCACCACCACCCCCCACCACCACCACCCCACCACCACTTGCACCCACCACCACCACCACCCACCACCATCACCTCCACCACCACCACCACCCCCCACCACCACCAACCCCACCACCACCACCACCCCCCCCACCACCACCACCCACCACCACCACACACCACCACCACCACACCCACCACCACCCACCACCACCACCACCACCTCACCACCCCCCACCACCACCCACCCCACCACCACCACCACCCACCACCACCACCACCTGCACCACCACCACACCTCCACTAACACGCCCACCACCACACCAACGCCACCACCTAACACCACCACTACCAAACTCCCCCACCACACCACACCACCACTACTCAATCCCACCACCCACCCAACCCCCACCACCACACCCCCACACCACCACCCAACTCCCAATCAACCACCAACCCACCCCAACACCACCACCCTCACCAACCCCACCACACCCACCACCTATACCCACCCCCACCACCAACCACACCACCACCCACCCACCACCCACCACACCACCCCACCACACCACCCACCACACCACCACCACCCCACCACTACCACCCACCACCACTACCACCCACCACCACTACCACCACCACCACCACCCCCCACCACCACCACCTCCACCACCACAACCAACCAATCACCCACCACCACCCAACCCAACAACACCAACTCCCACCAACACCAGCCACCACCACCCAACCCACCCCACCACCACCAACCCACCCACCACCAATCCCCACCAACTCCAACCACCACCACTCCACCACCACCACCACCCACCACCAACCACCACCCACCAACCACCACCAACTCCACCACACCATCACCACCCACCACCACCAACACCACCACCACCACCACCACCACCACCACCACTAACCTCCACCAACACCACCACCACTCACCACCCCCACCACCACCACCCACCTCCACCACCACCACCACCCCCCACCCACTCACACCACCACCAACCCCCACCACCACCACCACCACCCACCCACCCCCACACCACCACCACCACCCACCACTACCACCCCACCACCACCAACCACCACCACCACCACCACCACCACCACCACTCACACCCCACCACTCACCACCCCACCACCACCACCCCACCACCACCACCACCACCTCCACCACGCCTCAACACCTCACCACCACCAACACCACCACCACCACTACCTCCACCACCACCACCAACTCTCCCACCACCAACTCACCTCCACCACCACACCACCCACCACCACCACACTCCACCAACCCCACCCCACACCACCCCACCACCACCCCACCCACCCACCACCTCACCAACCCAACCACCACAACCCAACCACCACCACCAACCCCACCACCCACCACCACCACCACCCCAACCCCACCCACCCCACCACCCACCACCACCACCACCACACACCCACCACCACCACCACCCCCACCACCCCCACACTCACTACCTCCACCCCACCACGCCTCACCACCACCACCACCACCACCACCCCCACCACCACTCACACCACCATCACCACCCCACCAGCCACCACCACCCACCACCACCACACCACACCACTCACTCACCCCACCACCACCACCCCCACCACCACACCCACCACCACCACCCACACACACACACCCACCACCACCACCATCCCACCACTCCACCCCCCCACCACCACTCACACCCCACCACCACCACCTCCACCACCACCACCACACCACCACTACCACCACCACTCACCACACCCCCACCACCACCACCACCACCACCACCACTCACCACCCCCACACCACCACCACCACCTCCACCCCACCAACACTACCACCACCACCACTACCACCCCACCACCACCACCACACCACCACAACACAACCCAACCACCACCCACCACTACCACCACCCCACCACCACTACCCCCTCACCACTCACACCCCCCACCACCACCACACCCACCACCACCACCCACACCCCCCACACCACACCTCCACCACCAACCCACCACCACCACACCCCCCACCACCCACCCCACACCACCACACACCCACCACCCACCCCACCACCACCACCTCCACACACCACCACCATCACCACCACCACCACCTCACCAAACCACCACCACTCACCACTACCACTGCTCACCACCCCACCACTACCACCCAACCACCACCATCACCCACCACCACCCACTACCACTCACCACCACCACTCAACCACCCACCACACCCACCACAAACCACCACCACACCACCACACCCCCACCACCACACCCCCCCACCACCACCACCCACCACCACCTCAACTCACCCACCCCACCACCACTCCACCACCACCACCCACCACCCACCACCACTGCCACCACCACAACACTCACCACCACCACACCACCTCCACCACTACCACCCCCAACACCACCCACCTCACCACACCTCACCACACCACCACCACCACCACCACCACCAGCACCACCCCACCACAAACACCACACCACCACTCACCACCACCACACCACCCACCACCACCAATACCCCACCCACCACCCACCCACCCACCACACCACCACCACCCCACCTCCACCACCACCACTCACCACCACAATTCCATTACCTCCACCACCACCACTCACCCCCCACTCACTACTCACCCCCACCTCCACCACCACCCACTCCCACCCCCCACCACCACCACCACCCACCTCCACCACCACCCACCTCCACCACTACCACCCCCACCCCACACAACTACCACCACCACCCACCCACCACTACCACTACTACCACTCTCCACCACCACCACCAAACTCAATAACCACACCACCACAGGCAGCAGGGTGCAGTGCAGCGGACGAATTAGCCTCGTGTTCGGGGCGCCTCTGTAGGAGACCTGTGTCTCTTGAACTGGACCTGTCAAGACAACCTAGGTGAGGCATTACCTACCAAATTACAAGACTAGAGAGTTTTATGTTACTCATGGTGGGTTAGGTTAGGGAAGGAACAGCTAAAGGCTTAAAGTTGCTAATAAGAAGATGCTAGGTTGAGTTGAAGATGAAGGCAGGCTAGGATCAAAGCCAGCGTTAGAGCCAGGTTAAGTTAGGTTAGGCGTAGTTAGGATCAGGTGAAGGTTAAGTTGGGTTGGTAGTTAGGTGGTTAGACTTATTTAAACTAAATTCGCAGGTTAACTCTGACTGGTTTAAACTATGTTAGGTTAGGTTAGAGTGACCCAGAGGCCCTATTTGACCTGTAGGATTCTATATGACCTGTTAGACCCTAGTTAACCTGTAATGTACTCTGTTCCAGCAATCCAAACTTCAGGAAGGATCAGGACCTCTACAGCACAGCCAAGGAAAACACTGCTTCAAAAATCTTCCCTGGGAGAAGTACGACCCTGTCTACCAGAAGTACCTCGAGATAAGTGAGTATTACACTTATTACGGGGTATTAGTGTTACACCTCTGTTACGGGGTATTAGTGTTACATCTTCTATGTTAGTTATGTTACAACCTCTGTTACGGGAGTATTAGTACACCGTTATGGGGAATAGTGTTACACCTCTGTTATGGGGTATTAGTGTTACACCTCTGCCATGGGTATTATGTTACACCCTATTACGGGTATTAGTTACACCGTCACATTTATGTTATATAAGTGGTCAGTGTTACAGATGGTCCAGGTGCTACAGATGGTCTAGGTGATGGCAGATGGTTCAGGTGTTACAGATGTCAGGTGCTAAGTAGGTGGTTCAGGTGTTACAGATGGTTCAGGTGTTGCAGGTGGTTCAGGTGCTGCATGATATTCGGTGCTAACAGGTGTCCAGGTGTTACAGGCAGGGTGTTACAGGTTCACAGGCCCAGGTGCTAGGATGGTTCTAGAGGTGTTACAGAGATGGTACAGGTGCTAAAGTCTAAAGTTACAGGTGGTTCAGGTGTTACAGGTGGCTCGTGCTGGAGCTACAGGGCAGTTACAGATGGCCCAGGTGCTACAGATGTCTTTGTGTGTGTTACAGATGGTTCAGGTGCTACAGGTGTCCAGGTGCTACAGACAACCACCACATGCTGTTATGTGGTTCAGGTGTTACAGGTGTCATGTTACAGGGGTTCAGGTGTTACAGGTGGCTCATGTTACAGGTGGTTCAGGTGTTACAGGTGGTTCAGTGTTACAGGTGTTCAGGTGTTACAGGTGGTTACAGTGGTGTTGCAAGTGGTTCAGGTGTTACAGGGCAGGTACAGGTGTTCAGGTGGTCTGAGTGTTACAGATGGCTGAGGTGTTACTAGGTTTGAAAGTTAGAGGTGGTTCAGGTGTTACAGGTGGTTCAGGTGTTACTGGTGCTACAAGTGTTACTGGTGGTTCAGGTGTTACAGGTGTCTAGTGTTAGAGGTGGGTTCAGGTGTTGCGTTGTTAGCGTGGTTCAGGTTACAGGTGGTTCAGCCGTGTTACGAGGTTCAGGTGTTACAGGTGGTTTCGGTGTTACAGGTATCCAGGTGTTACAGTGTGGTTCAGGGGCACTGGTGGTTCAGGTGTTACCAGGTTCAGGTGCCAGATGGTCCAGGTGTTACAGATGGTTCAGGTGCTGCTGCGTGGTTCAGGTGCTACGGTGGTCTAGGTGTTACGATGGTTCAGGTGTTACAGATGGTCTGAAGTTGCCAGATGGTTCAGGTGTTACAGATGGTTCAGGTGCCACAGGTTCCAGGTGCTACAGGTGGTTCAGGTGATACAGATGGTCTCAAAGCCACAGATGGCCTAGGTGCTACAGATGGTTCAGGTGTCAGCAGATGGTTCAGGTGTTACAGGTGTCCAGGTGTTGCAGATGGTCAGGTGCACAGGTGGTCCCAGGTGTTGCAGATATCAGGTGTTACAGGTATTCAGGTGTTACAGATGGTCTAGGTGCCACAGGTCTTAGGTTACAGGTGGTTCAGGTAAGTAAGGATGGTTCAGGTGCTGCTAGATGGTTCAGGTGTTACAGATGGTCTCAGGTGTTACAGATGGTCCAGGTGTTATGGTCACAGGGAAGCAGGTGTCCAGGTGCTACAGGTGGTCCAGGTGTTACAGGTGTCCAGGGACAGGTGGCTCAGGTGCTGCAGATGGTCCAGGTGCCAGGTGGTCTCAGGTGACACAGATGGTTCAGGTGTTACAGATGGTCTGAGGTGTTACAGGTGGTTCAGGTGCTACAGGTGGTCCAGGTGTTACAGGTGGTTCAGGTCACAGGTGGTTCAGATGCTACAGATGGTTCAGGTGGTGCTACAGATGGTCCAGGTGTTACAGATGGTTCAGGTGCTAAGCAGATGGTTCAGGTGCTACAGGTTCAGGTGACAGATGTCCAGGTGTTACAGATGGTTCAGTGTTACAGATGGTTCAGGTTACAGTGGTCTAGTGTTGTTGGATGGTTCAGGTGTTACAGATGGTCAGGTGTTACAGGTTCAGGTGCTACAGATGGTTCAGGTGCTGCAGGTGGTTCAGGTGTACAGATGGTTTCAGGTGTCAGAGATGGTTCAGGTGTTACAGATGGTTCAGGTGTTTCAGGTGTTACAGATGGTCTAGGTGTTACAGATGGTTCAGGTGTTAAGGTGGTTCAGGTGTGCAGATGGTTCAGGTGTTACAGATGGTTCAGGTGTTACAGTGGTTCAGGTGCTACAGGTGGTCTCAAGTGTTACAGGTGGTTCAGGTGTTACAGATGGTTCAGGTGTTACAGATGGTTCAGGTGCTACAGGTGGTTCAGGTGTTACAGATGGTTCAGGTGTTACAGATGGTTCAGGTGTTGGCAGATGGTTCAGGTGTTACAGATGGTTCAGGTGCTACAGGTGGTTCAGGTGTTACAGATGGTTCAGGTGTTACAGATGGTTCAGGTGCTACAGGTGGTTCAGGTGTTACAGATGTTCAGGTGTTACAGATGGTTCAGGTGCTACAGGTGGTTCAGGTGCTACAGGTGGTTCAGGTGTTACAGATGGTTCAGGTGCTACAGATGGTTCAGGTGTTACAGATGGTTCAGGTGTTACTAGGTGTTTCAGGTGCTGAGGTGGTTCAGGTGCTACAGATGGTTCAGGTGTTACAGATGGTTCAGGTGCTACAGGTGGTTCAGGTGTTACAGGTGGTTCAGGTGTTATAGATGGTTCAGGTGTTACAGATGGTTCAGGTGCTAGCAGGTGGTTCAGGTGTTACAGATGGTTCAGGTGTTAAGATGGTTCAGGTGCTACAGGTGGTTCAGGTGCTACAGGTGGTTCAGGTGCTACAGATGGTTCAGGTGCTACAGATGGTTCAGGTGTTACAGATGGTTCAGGTGTTACAGGTGTTTCAGGTGCTAGCAGGTGTTCCAGGTGCTACAGATGGTCCAGGTGTTACAGATGGTCTGAGGTGCAGCAGGTGGTTCAGGTGTTACAGATGGTTCAGGTGTTACAGATGGTTCAGGTGTTACAGATGGTTCAGGTGTTACAGGTGTTTCTGGTGTTACAGGTGTTTCTGGTGTTACAGGTGCTCGGCCACGCCTCAGGGACCACTACAGGGCGCACCAGCTGGCACTATGGACGTGGTTGGTTCCTCAGCTGCAGCGGGTTGGTCGACCGGAATTCCTGACTTTACATGAATCCGAGGAGGAGGAGGAAGGGGGCGTGGTGGTGCCTCCTGAAGAGCAACTGCAGGAACTGTCGGTGCTGCATCACCTGTTCTCACAGCACGACGACCCCTCGCTGTACTCTGGGGCTGTGAGACCTTTACAGCATATGGCGGGACACTACATCCTGCCTTCTACCACCACTACAGCGTACCCTCTCACCTCTACCACCACCAACACCACGCCCTCTTCCCTCCACCATTCCCTCACCACACGCCACGGCCCCCTCACGCCAACGCCCCGTTAGGTCAGCCGCCAGACGTGCAGGCGCCCAACGCCACAGCTCACGCCGAGGCCACCATGAACGAAGCCGTGGACTACATCGCCTACTCCACAGCTCTCTCAGTCACCATCGCCATCGGGGTGTCGCTTCTCATCCTCAATATTCTCATCTTCGCCGGCGTCTACTACCAGCGGGATAGATCTCGTCTTGGGGACAAGCAGGAACAGCAGCAGAGTCAACAGAACAGCCAGAGCAGCAGCGAACAGCAGATGGCAGCCATCAGTTCAGCCTCGGGTCCTATATTAGGGTCGTCTATTAACTTGGAGGTGACCAAACCCCCCCTGACGGCCGCCTCCTCGCTGAAGGCTCCGCCGCCCTCCCCTCTCACACACACTCAAGCCTTCACACACATCTCAGAGTGCCCGCCCGCCTTCGCTGACAATCCTCCTGTCAGTCGTGAGGCGGGTGGGCACTGCCTCCCTATACCTCCACCCACCATTCCTAACGGCAGCGCCACCCCTGGGCGGCCAACAGCTACAGCTCCAACAACACCAGCACCTGCAGCATAAGCAGATAACAATGCCTCGACCACCGCCACCACCTCGGCTGTTGCCTGCAGAGTCACAGCCACTGCTTCCTGCACACGTGCCAGCTCCCCCCAGAGGCAAGATCCCAGCCTACGAGGAGCTGAGAGTATGATGGCGGCGCCCTCTGGTCACGGTGCTTACTGCCGCACACGAGCACGCCCACGTTGTCGACTACTACGGCGGCAACTTTTACGACGGACACGACATGACCACGTCCTTCCGCAGTGACCAAGACGACCCTAGGGTGATGGCCGCCTTACCTGTCAGGGTGGACTACTGTGCTGGTAGTTCTTCAACGTGGCCACGGAAGGCCCGTGGTCCCCGCACGTGGCCAGAGGGCGATACTACCTGCCTGCAAAACCAGCAGCAGCAGCCGCAGCACCAAGGGGCCACGCGCTCCTAGCAATAAACGCCCAGTAAACATGATAGTGTTCTGGGCCGATAGTGTGACCATAATGAGACGCTCTCAATAATTATTTACATCTTTAATAACGTTTTCAAAAGTTGTCTATGTGAACGTGTGCACTTTTTATATGTACGTGTGTGACTTACTCAAGTGTAATATACGTGTACATAATACTACACAGATCATCTATTGACATGTTACAGATTAAACTGTTTTCAATAAAACTTGCTAGTAACCTGGAGTTTGTTGATTTCCTTATTTGAGTAGTCTGTTGTGTGTGTTGAGTGTTGTGTGTGTTGAGTGTTGTGTGTGTTGAGTGTTGTGTGTGTTGAGTGTGTTGAGTGTTGTGTGTGTTGGAGGTTGTGTGTGTTGAGTGTTGTGTGTGTTATGTGTGTTGAGTGTTGTGTGTGTTGAGTGTTGTGTGTGTTGAGTGTTGTGTGTTGTGTGTGTTATGTGTGTTGAGTGTTGTGTGCATTGAGTGTTGTGTGTGTTGAGTGTTGTGTGTGTTGAGTGTTGTGTGCATTGAGTGTTGTGTGTGTTGAGTGTTGTGTGCGTTGAGTCTGTTGTCTGTAACTTAATGCACAAAGGCAGACCATACCATACAGAAAACTCAGATCAAACAACAATGACCCTAAATGGATAAATGATTATTTAAAGAACATTATTGGACAAAGGAAGGCTATAGGTAGGAGAATAAATCGGGGTGAAGTTTACCTCCGAGATTATTATAAGGTATTGGCCGGTAGGGTTAAGACCGAGATAAGAAAAGAGGAATAATGAACTGAAGATAGCAAGGGAGGCGAAGTCAAACCCCAAGGGATTCTATCAAATGTATCAAACAAAACACGAGAAAAGATTGGACCAATACAGTCAGATACCGGCGAGCTAACTGATAATGACGGAGAAATTAACAATAATCTGAATAAATATTTTTTACAAGTTTTCACCACCGAGAATTTAAACATGATACCCGAGGCACCGACACTATACAGAGTTAGTGAAGAAAATAGATTAAGAGAGATAGTAGTGACTAGTAACGATGTTAGTAAACAAATAGACAAACTAAAGCTTAATAAGTCACCAGGTCGAGATATTTGCCAGAGTATTACAGGAATGTAAGGAAGAGCTTAGTATGCCCTTAACAAAGTTGTTTAACATGTCCTTAAAAACAGGTGTAGTCCAGAATCCTGGAGGATAGTGAATGTAATGCCGATTTTCAAGAAGGGAGATAGATCACTATCCTCTAACTACCGTCCAATTAGTTTAACATCAATTGTTAGCAAAGTGCTGGAAGCAATAATTTCAAACTCTATATGAAATCACCTGGAGAAGCACAAGTTGATCAATGATTCCCAACATGGCTTCGCAAGCGGGCGTTCATTTTCTGACAAATCTGTTAACATTCTTTTCAGCTGTTTTTGAATCAGTGGACGTGGGGCACGACTATGATGTGGTATATCTCGACTTTAGCCAAGTTTTCGACAGAGTCCCCCACGAAAGACTAGTAATGAAAAGTGGAGACTCATGGCATTGGAGGGAGATATTCTATAATAGATTAGGGCGCAGGTTACAGGACGGGAAACAGCGAGTGAGCATTAACGGCACTAAATCTGATTGGGGTAACGTCACTAGAGGAGTTCCCCAAGGCTCAGTACTTGGACCATTATTATTTATTATATACATAAACGACATAGATATCGGCGTAGACAGACACATAAGCAAATTTGCTGATGACACTAAAATAGGGCATGTAATTAAATGTGACGATGACTCCGCTAAAGGAAGATCTAAAAAAATATATCATGTGGTATGAAAAATGGCAGATGAGATTTAATGAGGACATATGTAAAGTACTCAGTATAGGAGATGTAAACAGGGAAACCAGATACCAGATGAACAACGATGTTATAGAGAAATCCAACTGTGAGAAAGATTTAAGAGTAATGATAAGTAGGAACCTTAAACCAAGTCAACAATGTGTATTTGTTTGTAACAAGGCTAACAAAGTACTTGGGGCCATAAAAAGGAGTGTTAGTTACAAAACTAGAGAGGTCACCCTAAAATTATATCTTGCCCTAGTTAGACCTCATTTGGACTACCAGGTCAGTGTTAGTTACAAGACTAGCGAGGTCATCCTATAACTGTATCTTGCTCTTGTTAGACCACACCTGGATTACTAGTTCAGTTCTGGTCACCGTGATACAGAATGGATATAGAATCCTTGGAAAGAATTCAGAGGAGAATGACAAGACTAATCCCGGGCATTAGGAACCTTGAGTACAGAGACAGGTTAAAGCATCTTAATTTACAGGTACAGGTATAAGGTACAAGTATAAGGTACAGGTACAAGGTACAGGTACAAATATATGGTACAAGTAAAAGGTACAGGTATAAGGTACAGGTACATGTATAAAGTACAGGTATAAGGTACAGGCACAAGTATAAGGTACAGGCACAAGTATAAGGTACAGGCACAAGCATAAAGCACAGGTATAAGGTACAGGCACAAGCATATACAGGTACAAGTATAAGGTACAGGCACAAGCATAAGGTACAGGTATAAGGTACAGGCACAAGTATAAGGTACAGGTACAGGATAAGGTACAGGTATAAGGCACAGGCACAAGTATAAGGTAAGGCATAGGTACAGGTATAAGGTACAGGACAAGTATAAGGTACAGGCACAGTATAAGGTCAGGTATAAAGGTACAGGCACAAGTATAAGGTACAGGTACAGGTATAACAGGTACAAGGTACAGTATAAGGTACAGGCACAAGTATAAGGTACAGGTACAAGTATAAGGTACAGGTACAAGATAAGGTACAGGTATAAGGTACAGGCACAAGTATGGAGGGTACAGGTACAGGTATAAGGTACAGGTACAAGGAGTATAAGGTACAGGTACAGGTTATGGTGAGATGGTGGGTGGATGACGTGGTCGGATGAGGTGGTGGGTGGGGTGATGGTGGTGGGGTGGAGGTGGTGGTGGGGTGGAGGTGGTGGGTGGGTGAGGGGTGGTGGTGGGTGAGGTGGTGGTGTGGAGGTGTGGTGGTGGTGGGGGTGAGGTGGTGGTGGTGGGTGAGGTGGTGGTGGTGGGTGAGGTGGTGGTGGGTGAGGTGGATGTGGTGGGTGAGTGGATGTGGTGGGTGAGGGTGATGTGGTGGGGTGAGGTGGATGTGGTGGGTGAGGAGGTAGTGGGTGAGGTGGGTGGTGGGTGAGGTGGTGGTGGTGGGTGAGGTGGTGGTGGGTGAGGTGGGTGGTGGTGGGGTGAGGTGGTGGTGGTGGGTGAGGTGGTGGTGGTGGGTGAGGTGGAGGTGGGTGAGGGAGGTGGTGGGTGAGTGGTGGTGGTGGGGTGAGGTGGTGGTGGTGGGTGAGGTGGTGGTGGTGGTGGGGTGGTGGTGGTGGTGGTGGGTGAGGTTGGTGGTGGTGGGTGAGGGAGGATGGGTGAGGTGGTGGTGGGTGAGGTGGTGGTGGTGGGTGAGGTGGTAGTGGTGGGTGAGGTGGTAGTGGTGGGAGAGGGTGGTGGTGTGGGTAAGGTGGTGATGGGTGAGGTGGTGGTGGTGATGGGTGAGGTGGTGGTGGTGGGTGAGGTGGTGGTGGGTGAGGTGGTGATGGGTGAGGTGGTGGTGAGAGGTGGTGGTGGTGGGTGAGGTGGTGGTGGTGGGGGTGAGGTGGTAGTGGTGGGTGAGGTGGTAGTGGTGGGTGAGGTGGTGGTGGTGATGGGTAGGTGGGATGGGTGAGGTGGTGGTGGTGGATGGGTGAGGTGGTGATGGGTGAGGTGGTAGTGGGTGAGGTGGTGGTGGTGGGTGAGGTGGTGGTGGTGGTGGGTGAGGTGGTGATGGGTGAGGTGGTGGTGAAGACCACCAGGCTTAATAACACAATAATGAAACTCGGAAGTGGTGAAGAGCTGGAGGCCGAGAGCCATCACGACCCTTATTGGCACTGTGGTGGTTGTGGCACTGTGGTGGTTGTGGCACTGTGGTGGTTGTGGCACTGTGGTGGTTGTGGCACTGTGGTGGCTGTGGCACTGTGGTGGTTGTGGCACTGTGGTGGTTGTGGCACTGTGGTGGCTTGGCACTGTGGTGGTTGTGGCACTGTGGTGGTTGTGGCACTGTGGTGGCGTGGCACTGTGGTGTTGTGCACTGTGGTGGTTGTGGCACTGTGGTGGTTGTGGCACTGTGGTGGTTGTGCACTGTGGTGGTTGTGGCACTGTGGTGGTTGTGGCACTGTGGTGGTTGTGGCACTGTGGTGGTTGTGGCACTGTGGTGGTTGTGGCACGTGGTGGTTGTGCTCGTGGTGGTTGTGGCACTGTGGTGGTTGTGGTGCTGTGGTGGTTCTGGCACTGTGGTGGTTGTGGCACTGTGGTGGGTGTGGTACTGTGGTGGTTGTGGCACTGTGGTGGTTCTGGCACTGTGGTGGTTGTGATGCTACCACTACAGAAGCAGTCTCCGGTGATAAACAAGCAAACCCAGGAAATAGACCAGCAGAAACAAGCAAGGAATCACCAGGAAATAAAAGCAAGTGTATTCACAGACCTGTCCCACACAGAGGCCCTTGTATACTTCTGGCCGTCACTGCACAATCTGTCTTACCTGCAACGGCTGGCTCACACCTGCAAAAAAAAGATTATCAGAATTAATCAATGCATCATTTACTCTACAAATAATAAAAGAAAAAATAACAAGGAAAATATTAAAATACATTGATTGAAAAGAAAACATATTGGTTGAAAATACACCGAACCCTCACTACCACTACCACCCCTCCCTCTTCCTTACTCTCCTCTCCTTCCCTCATAAATCATCAGACAGCCCCAGACATTTACACTATTAAATGCTGCGATATTTCCGTTCATTTCTTACGGCATGATAATAAATGCCAATATAAAATTCACCAGAAAATACCAAACGTCAAATTGTAATACTATTGTACTGTTGAAAGTTACTGTAAATGAAACCAGTCACGGTGAACAAGGAAACTAAATAATCAAAAATATTCTTATGTTTACGTAAATAATGTCTTCTATCTTGTATATACAGTACAGACGAGCTTAAACATCTTCATTGTCTTACTGGAAATACTTCACAAAGTGATTTAAGGTCATGGTCGCTTATATACCAAGTCAGCTAAACCATTTTCTCTGGTCACGAAGTTGACTTTAAGAGAAAACTGCTGACTTTAAGGGAAAACTATGTTATTATTCGTTCCATAAAGTGAAACCATTTTTAACCAGC